GTGAGCAATTGGAAATACTGGAAACACAAGGCTTGTATGTATAAGGATTAGAAAAGGAAAAAGACCAATTATAAATTAAATTTAACCAGTTACCAGTTGTGGACAACAAGAATCTTGAGTGTCTTTAAGCCAACTAAACTGTTGCTCAATTGGATTGACGGCAATGAATATGTTTTAACAGATTCTCTCACTTAAAAAGCTGCATTTAACAGATTCCCGAAAGAAGAAGAAGAAGAATCTAACGATAAAGCGATATTAGCTTTAAAATTATAATAATAAAATTTGAAAATAACATTACAAGCTTTATGACCTTTTAAAAAATTTAATTCGCATTTATATTTCGTTTTTCACGTAAATTCTACTTTGCTTTTATATTACGATGCCAAAAGGGTAGTAATGTAGAAATTACTTATGCTCTCCGTTTCTCAGAAGCGAAAATACAGGGAAATCGGCCAGCCATGCAATTGAATACTTGCACACATCTTAATTGATATAGAAATAGTAATCTTTTAGAAATTATTGCTCGCATATAATTAATATTCACACAAACTAACAAGTGAGAAAATTATTTTCGGCTGGGGCCGAATCTCGCGTATTCATGACTGTGCTTTTCGCTTTCTACTCCTATAAGTTCTTTTCTTTGATACCCATGTCGCTGGCATTATTAAGAAAGAAATGTAATCGGGGTATCTACCGTATTCATTGTAGAATTAAACCATTTTTAAACAGATAATGTATCTCCATTTGAGAAGTGTACAAAGTAGTTTTAAACAATCTGTCTGGTTTGTTTTTTTTGTTTTTTTGTGGATAGTGTACGTAAAACCCGAAAGGAAGCTTCAGAGACCCTATAAAGAGCCAACAATTTTTTCCCTTTTTGAAAATGGAAGTGTTCTCAGTTTATATGACAATGTAGGCGTGTCCTTCGACCTATTTGGCCCATTCTTTGCAACAACGTGTATGCAGGAGCTTCTCATGTCCTTCACAAATTTGGAGCAATAACTTTATTTTCGCAACATACGGACAGACATACGGGCAGGCAGAAAAGCAGCCATTGTTTTGATTGATTGGTTGATGCTAATCAAAAATGCTTTATGAGATCTCTGAGGCTTGCTTCTAAGTGGTGCAAACATTTTGACAAGCTGAATATACCCTTCATTTTTCCGTGTTGGAAAAATTTGCAAAAAAACTTAATGCGTGGAGTAAAAGTGCTTTAAAAGAAAAACGTTATTCCTGTTTCTGTACGTGGTAATGAAAATTAATCAAAATCGTCTATAAAAAGACATCGACGAGGTAGGCGAAAACAAGAGAATGGTGAAAACGTAGTTGGAAGCAAGAAAGAAATCGAAATAAAAGACGACTATCACGGATAGTGACGATGGCGTCAATAGCAGAAAGAATAAAAAGAGAAGTTCAGTAATCAACATTTGAAAGGCACTGCTAACGACGAATCCCGCGACACAAGGATTAACACAGAAAAGATACTAAAAAAAAAGATAATAAAAAGATACTGCGCTAATGAATTCTGGACGAAAACGAACCGTTAAATGACACAATGAGTGCAAAAAAGCGGTCAGCGAAAATCTTGGCAAGTAACATAGTTGAAAAAGAAGCATCGAAAGTGAGAGTAACGATATGAACAAAAAGATGTCGACAGTGCGAGAAGGTGGAAACAAGATAGTAAAAGGAGTCAAAGAGATGCAATGTAATCATTCAAAAGTTTATGAAATGCCTGAAATCGTAAAGAAACGTTTCATTTAAAGGATTGCATGAAGAAGAGCACAAGAAAGCCAAACATTTGATTAATACGAGATAGGGACGTAATTTAAAGCCAACTTTAGTTCAAAAGTGTTTTAACTAATTTCACATCTAAATCGAAGGGATTGCAAATAGAATAGCTGGCCGAAGCTAACTACAGTCTAAGCTAAGAATTTAGTAAAACACGCGAAATTATAGAGATAAAGAAAGAGTCGTCCTTTAAAAGAGAAGGACTAAAGAATACAACAACGATGAATGCACAATATTTTACACATGATGTCCTTCTCCATATTCTAAAAATTCCCCACTATCGATATGGCAACCCTAATATTATAATAGGCGTCCTAAAGAGAATCTCTTCAGAATTGCAGTAAACATCTCTGAAAATGTTTGAAAGCTTAGCGGAGAATAAACTGAAGAGTTAATCGATTTTAAGCCATTAAATTATGTTTGGTCCCTTTATTTTTCTATAGTTTTCCGGTCCCTTTGCTTTTCCACAAAAAAAAAAGAAGCAAAACACGTATCATGTTAGTCGAGTAGACTACTTATGTCAGATTGGTTTGAAGTTGAAGGCCCAAAGTTGTCAACCTACTTTTATGTAATAAATTTGCTGTTATGCAACGTCACGTATATGCTATGGGCTTCGAAGTTCCTCAACGCTATATATATGATAAATGCTTTAGTATGTACCGAATAGATTGTTTATCGTTCCAGCAGCAGCAGCAGAGAGTCAATTGAGTAGTGTGGAGGAATATGTCCATTCAGCCAACATCGGAGCCAATCAAACTCGTGATGTAATCGAAATCTTGTACTATCTGCGAATTTTCAAATATATATATATATATATATATATATATGTTACTTACTTTCATGCCACGTCATTACTTCCCATGTACAATGCGGTCAATGGTTGAATTTTCTCACGAATTATGTAGAGACGTCAGCCTAGTATTATTATGGCCGATTTACTATTGCTGTCAGAGCAGTGTTTACAAGTTTTCCGATTATTAGCAACATTTTTCCAATCTTGCTTGCTAGTCTGAAAACCCTAAACCATTATTTACATAGGAAATTTTTCCCTTCTCTTCTCTTTTACTACTTCTTTTTACTTTTAAAAAGAATAAAATTTATTTAATCTGTGATCTTTATATACAACATAGAAGAATTGTAAAAAAATTTCCCGCTGGAAAGTTGCATTTGAAACGTTACACCTTCCCGTAGACAACAAGGCGATAAACGCAAGTATAGCTGGAATGGCCATGATTCGAATTGAAATGAATTTTTAACAAATCGTATTTCCCTATAGTGTAAACATCGAACGTTTGCAGCAACTTATGTTGAAAGACTTCGTAGCGGAATTCACCCAATAATACGTTCCGATGTTCTGTGAGAGCGAAGATCGTAAAATCTTTTGGAGCACTGCAGGTGTCGCCGGTTGGTGATTGCCTTTCCGATATATGGTGGATGCCGACTTGATTGATTAAAACCGGTTGCGGCAATTTGACGATTACGATAGCACGGTCGATTTTAAATCCAAAACAATTACCCGGCGCCATGTTCGATCGAAGCATTTCCTCTGGAGGATTTCTCCAAAATTCTTTTCTAAACAATATTTCGAAAAAATTCGGTGAACACAATGGTTCCGCCTCTACAGAAATCACTTTCGCTCCCAAGTTTTCAGATGCGTAGTTCACGCGTTCCCGGATTTTCATATTCAAATTTCTAATATCAACGTTAGGGCATTTCGGTCCTTTAATAGCTTTCTTAAGCACATGCAATTCATCGCAAATACGGCTGAGAACCCGCTTAATAACATTGCCGGTTGAAAGCATCAAAAACTGTTCTCCGTTTTGAAGGTCGGGTTTAATTAACATCTTCTGAATAATTTCTTCAACATCTTCATGCAATCCATTAATCTCTTTAGAAGTTCGCATTCCAGTTATTAGTATGTATATGAAAGTGCCAATCAATGCAATGAATCCCATATACTGAACGTAAGTTCGTAAAACTGTCATGTTTTTTATATTACTATCTCTCTTGCTCTTCTTTCTCTTTCTGAAAACTTGTTCCGATATATTAAGATTTTATTCTTCTATTTCTTTTAATAAAGCTTAGTCTTCTTTTTTTTTTATTTATTTACCCTTTCTTGAGACAATGAAAACTTTCAGCGACGTGAACTGTTAAAAAACTTTACCCATTAGCTCGAATATTGAGAAGTTGTCAACGACACACATGTGAAAGAGAACTTGATTATTTGGAAAATATATTTTCATAATAGCCAGAGTGTTTTTTACGGCTCAAGCATTTTTACGAATTTTGTTCAGCAGAAAATTCAATAAAATGAATGAATATAGAAATATTTCAAAATTTTCGTGTGAACCTCATATAGACAGTGGGCCATGGTGTTGTAACCTAGCAAATTCGTAAAACACGATAACTATGCAAGCCTAACCTTTGCCTCAGTATATGTGTGCTTTACCTAGTATGCATATAATAATATCAAGTAACTGTACCCTACATCACGTCTGCTGCAAAGGGTTATTAAGTTTATGCGGCCGTATGTTATAAGCAGAAGGTCTTAAGATAGATCCAATTTTTATGATACTTGTCGGTTCAGAAAACGATTCTGGCTGGATGATAAGCCTGTCCGTCTGTCTGTCTGTCCATGTGTTTTTGTGTTTAAACTAGAAGACGCAATTTTTGAGATATTTGCGCTCAAAATTTGGTACACAGCAGTGGGTCGAGACAGACTACTTCTTCGACCACTTTCGATATAACGCGTTATATGAAAAAACCGTTATATGAATAACTGTATGATGGGATAAGGTAATTAAGGTAAATAATTTATAGTACGCCGTGTCCTACAAGATGTAATTTTACTTATTGACTCTTATTGATACAAGTTCGCGTTGGTTCTTTAATTTTATTTAATCATGATTTGCAATTTTTTTTTTATGTTTTTCAACGCAATGTAAGTTTAGTTAAAATAAGAGAAAGTAACATGTTAGTCGTAGGCCATGAATACATGAAATAGTTAGGAAGACTTTCAAGTGTATCTTTCTCGTGAGGGGTTTCTGATATAAGTGAACTACAAGAAACTATAATTTTTGGTTTGAATTATAGCGCAAATGAAAATTTAAATGGTATTAAGCTCTGCAGAATATTTTAAAAAATAAAAAAAAAAAATCATTTTTGCTTAAAATGTTTTATTACATTTTTTATTATCTATATTTGTCCGACTACAGTGAACAAGAACACTTCATTTCTGAGCATACCGTAATGGCAGTCTTCACATCTCAAGGGCAGGTGGGAGGCCCGTGTCGTTATATGCCAGCAACGCGGAGACAAAATCATCAATGCCGCAAAGAGATCGGTTTATCTGATACCATTCGCGAAGCAAGACGTCTGGCGACTACCCATTGTGAAGATCAATTCCGTTACGATCGTTGGAACTGTTCGATAGAAATCCGAGGGAAACGTAATATATTCAAGAAGCTCTATAAGGAGACTGCTTTTGTTCACGCTTTAACGGCCGCCGCTATGACTCATTCGATTGCTCGAGCCTGTGCTGAGGGGCGTATGACCAAATGCAGCTGTGGTCCGCGTAAACAAAATCGTCCTGATCAAAGTTTTCAATGGGGTGGCTGTAATGATAATCTTAAGCATGGCAAACGGGTAACCAGAAGCTTTTTAGATTTACGAGGCGGCGATAGTGACGAAGTCACTGAAATACTGCGACATGACTCAGAGGTGGGTGTACACGTTTGGGAATTTAGATAGAATGATAGAAAGTAGAAAATTTTTTATCTTTCAGGTCGGTATAGAGGCTCTGTCAACATTAATGAAAGATAAATGCAAATGTCACGGTGTATCGGGTTCGTGTTCAATGAAAACATGTTGGAAAAAGTTGTCGGATTTTAACGCAACAGCCACACTGCTAAGACAGAAATATAATCAGGCGGTTAGGAAGGCGCCAAACACACGCACAATACGACGAGATGTACCCATAAGTCGTGCGAAAAAACCAAAACAGAGGCGAAAGAAAGTAAGTCAATATTTTTTATTTTTTTTCAAATTTTTTGGAAAAAAATCGATTTGAAATTTTCACTTTTCCGCATTTTTTCAATTTTCTGCAACATGAAATGAAAAGCAATCTCAGTATACTACGCTGTATTATTTGGAAACCTCGCCAACTTATTGTTCGGTCACGAAGGATCGCCAATGCCTGCATCCGGACAATTGTGCGAATCTATGCTGCGGGCGTGGCCATGTCACCCGCGTTTTTAAACAAATTGAGAAATGCCGTTGTCGCTTTAACAACGGACGTTGTTGTCAATTGATTTGCGATTATTGCCAACGATACGAAGATAGATATTTTTGTAAATAAAATCTCTTCTAGGCTCTATTTTTTAAGTCTCTTTCAGTTCTTTTCCAGTTTCTCTGTATTTATAATGATTTCATTCCTATTTATATTTAAAAAAAAAAAAAAAAAAAAAAAAAAAACAAGAAAACAAAACAAAAAAAAACAGTAAAAGAAAAAAAGATCATAAGCCAACCAATTAATCAATTTAGTAAGAAAGGACGCAGCCAATGGACTAAGCATAGTCTGCATAATATCTCATAAACTTATACATATATGAATAGTTATACCCACTCATACATCGCCATCCTTTTTAAAGAATACTTTTAGAAAACGCTCTTTGACCCTATAAAGTTAAATTTAGCGAAAAAAAAAACAAAACCATAAAAACCATTCTTATAAAAAAAAAAAAAAAAAAAATTGCAAAACTTAAGTGAAAATCTAAACAAAAAAAAAACAAAAAAAAAACTAAATATAAAATATTTTTAATTTGTAATTTATTATATGCAAAACAAAACAACAACAACAAAACACAAAACCAAAAATAAACGAAGTAAAAAAGAAATCGATTACAAAAAAACAAAAAACACTTGAAAATTAAACATTAAACTACAAAGTGTTTTATTGAAATAATTAGAAAAAAAGATACAAATAAGAAAACCGAAACAAAACAAAAAGTTAAAGATTAAAAATAGAAAGAAAAGAAAGATAAAACCACAAGTAAAAATACTATAGTTGTACACGGCCCACCATTGAATACCCTGCACAGGTACTACATTTATTCATATGACGGTTTCTCACTTGTGTTATATGAAAAGTGATCGTCCGTATCATTTGCAATAAGATTTGCCCTTGAACCAAAAGAGCTCAGAATGTACCAAATTGAATCCAACAAAATAAGACTAACGGACGGACACACAGTTGAACTTCAGAATCATTTTCTGAATCGACCTGTATAAGAAAAGGTGGTCCTCTTGGGTATTGAATACTTTCAAACATACCTCAACATACTCTTGTATTATTAGTCTTGTACCATTGTAGGGCAAAATAACCAAAAAAAAAAAAACAAAAAAACCAATAACACAAGTAAAAGTGTATCAATGCCAATATCGTTAAGTGTTTAACTTGTCGATCGTTAAAGAAAGATAACAATGTGTGAAAGAGACTTTGCAGTTTTTTGTACGTTAATCGAGGTATCCGTCTGCGGAGTTCAAACTATTTCACTCTAAATCATATCTAGAAGTGAAGAAAAATACGCAAAATTCAGCATGAAACGAATCTTCAATACCTAGGACTGCTGACGCTAGGTCTTTATTAGCCATTAACTTACATCCATTATGGATGGCATTTAAAAACGATTTCTGGAAAGTGATAAAAGTAGATGCGGCCATACCACCTTTTTATGCAAGCCTTGCATTATCCCTAGGGTTGCATTAGATTTGTGCAGGCTTCAGATAAACAGACATTTGATTATAACTGTAGGTTGATTTTCTAAATCGATATAAACTTGTCTGTCCGTCTCACATCGGTCCAAATTACAATTTTCGAAATATTTCGACGGAAATTGATGCGCTGGCCTCTTGCTTGGTTGCGAGAGCACTAAAGCGAACGCTCCTACAGCCAGGCTCCTTAAAACGTATAATTTTCAAAAAGTCGGATACGATGAAGAATATTGTCATGGACGAGAAGATGAATGTGAAAGATTTGGTGAGACAAGGTGAGATTGCTTTTTTAATCTTTCTCCCGAGCTCACGAGCTCTTAATCATGATCAAAATTTTAATATTTTACAATGCCTATGGGTCCAGAAACAAAAGCTCTTTTTCAATTTTTTACTCCTTTAACAGCGAATTGATTGGACTGAGTTTGGACTACGTTTCACGTGCCCTATGCCGTAGAAAACATCTTTTCTATTAAAATTTCTAGTTTTTATTAAATTGTAGCAGGCAAACTTGTCCAACTTATTCGACCGTAGAAGGCCAAGACTAACGATTTTGACTAATTTCCGTTTTCAGGAATTGCGTGGCAGCACTTGATTTACCTTAATTCAGCGATTTTAATAAAGCAGATTTCAGGATCATGAAAGAAAAGTGATATTAAAAAACGGAGAGAAAATGGAGGATTTATTCGCTTTATTGTATCACAAATTAAAAACGAGGGAAATAGATTCCACTTTGTATAGTGCAGTTAATGTTTGAACTGGACAATTAGAGCAATTTAATATCCAAACTTCAAGCTGTGAGAAAATTTAGAAAAGATGGGAAACTGTTTTATTATTCTTGTCGTTAATTGTGGATAACCTCTTCGACCGTTTTAGCCTATTTTCAGACTTGAACTGGCTAAAGCAAAAACAAGCATCTGAGGATATTACATTCGGCTATGAAGGAATCTTTTATACACATCACCTTTAGCCTAAAACGAAAAAACTGAATTTCTTTACTCCTTTACTAGCATATAAGAGTGGGCGTGATTAATTTTTTCCATTTATATCGATCGTACGTGCAAGAAGTTTCCATGGCTTTAGCACATTTGGAACCGACATATTGGATTTTGGGAGCGGGAGAATGCGTACCACTGATACAACACAGATTGAGAGACGATCATGTGGGCAGACGAAAGGACAGCGATATTTAGATGCCATTTGACCATAAGAAACATTTCAACGAAATGATGAGATTTTTATACATTATAATATTGGAACCGATTTTCTCTATATACTATAGTATTGTCCCTAGAATATGCGAGAACATTTTTATGGTTTTATCTGCTTATAATACGTGAATAATGAGGGAACGCCATTTGTTCTTTTTTTTTTAATTCTTTACTTTTAGAGGTTGGCACGTTACAGATCTTTCCACGTTTGATACCGAACTGCGTGGAACAGCTGACAAATTTGAAGCCAGAAGCTTTGTTTTTGCATGCAGGAACATGTTGAGTATAGAGATTACGCGGAAAAACAGACGGATACGGTGGGTTTGCTGAATGTTGCCAACGTTTTGACAAAATGAATATATTCTTATTTTTTAGCGGTAGATGCGAAAATTGAAAACAAATCTGTTTTCATCATGGTTTGCGATCGTAAACTTGTTTGCAATGTATAAACCGACTAATTTGGCTACATTGGGGCGTAAGCTATTAACCCTTCCCTTTTGTGGATATTTAAATTGCTTATATACTTCGAATTATCTTTTACTTTTAATGTTTATGGAATAAAATAACAGTTTAACTGGCACTAGTAAAACCATTAGGGATAGTAGCCCAGCTTTATTGATAAACTAGATTAATGGTTTTTACATGTGTTGGTAATAGATGGCATACATTGTCATAAATTGCCATTAAAAAATGTTTCGTTCGTTTATTATCTGTGAGATGCTAGCGATGATGGTCCTATATTATTCTAAACAAAGAAAAACGTTGCGCACAACTTCAAGTATCTAAAAATTCGTGAGTAAGTGGTCTTGAGCCGTTAGAACTAACACCCGCTATAAGTAACGTCGGCATTTCGGTGGAAGATGACTACTTATAGAACCTCTATACCCGAACTTCGGCTGAAAAAAAAAAATATATATATAATTTTATTAAATTAAAAATATTATTATTATTGTTATTATTATTAATTTCGTCAGAGAAATGGATTCTAAGAGAATAGATTCTAGACTAATCTCTTAAAGCACTAACATCTAAGGCGATTGGCGTTTATTAAAAACTCTATCGCACTTGAGATTCGAATCTACGACCGTTTAGTTGCTAATCGAGTGATCTATAAATATTTTTTTAAGAAATAATTTCAAAAAAATCAAAATGAAAGGCTTTCCTCTCTATCGTTTTACGGCACAGCTTGAAAAGCCACCAAATCAAGCCCAACAAAGATACGCAAGACATATTCTCTGTGTATATACTAATTGTATTTCGTATCAAAAGCATCTTATTTCGTCTTGTTGCGAATATTGCATTTTAATTAATAATTTTATAAGGTTTGGCAGCCCATTATACAGGTTTGTTGCTCTAAGCAGAACGCTGAGAACTTGAATCCTTGAGAAAGTTTAGCTTATTCATCAAATGCATGCCGATGTTTTATTAGAAAATAGAAGCAAAGACACTACAGGGTGACACGGCCCGCCATTAAATACCCTACACTACATTACAGTTATTCATCTTGGACTCTTATATAGAAATTGGTCGAAAAAGTGGCTATCCAGGGAACCGAATTATTTTCGATAGTATTGACCCTTAAGCCAAAACATGTTGTTGTTCCAAGTTTCATCAAAATATCTCAAAAATTGCGACCTATACGTAGAATGCAAGAAAACTACACGGACTTAGAGACGGAAAAGCTCGATATCATTTTCTGAAACGATCGGTATAATAAAAGGTGGATCTTTCGCAATTCCTTTTGGGTGTTGCATGCATCCGAGCAAATTAAAATATACCCTTGTACTGAAAAGGGTGTAGAGTGCAAAAATTGGAAATTGATGTCCAAAGCCTACTACTTTGGGATTATACTATCATAAAAAAATGCAGAAATTTTTAGTTTTTGGTAATTTTGGTCCAATCATTAAAAAGGTTTTACTGATTTTTTAATTTCGCCTGACGATGTCGATAAGAACAAATTTTAGGCTCACAATCTTCAACTGGAAAACATCTTACGGTTGTAGTCGTGACTTCGGCAATGTTCACAAGAGCAGACAAACAAACGGACAGACAAATAGAGCTAATTGTGATGAAATATATGCGTTATCTACAACGGTGTACGACTGGTCGACGATGCATATTATCACGCGCTACCAAACTTTTGCAAATGGAATACGCCTCCGATTGGAGACGCAAGTTGTCTTCCATAGCTTCTTCTTTGCGCTTCATAAGTAAATTGAATCAAATCATTGCATTATTACATTGCTTTTCATTGCTTGCAAAAAAACAGGTGATGTGATGCAAATCGCTTCATATCGAAGGCTTTGCCGTTGCATTGATTATAATCGTTAGAGATGCGAAGTAAATCATACTCTCTGCTAACATTTATCGAAGAAGATCATATAAATCAAAAAAAAAAAAATTCTAAAAAATAAAAGTAAAGAAAACTCAAACCGTTAGATATTATTTCTGATAACAAAAAAGCACCACTCATCACCATTCATATGAGAATGAAAGAGAAAATCGGACAAGAGATATGTTCATTTAATGCGCACTACAGGGAGTATTAAAGAGAAGCAATTGTCAACAAATAATTGAGTGTATGACGCGACCATTCTTGCTTTTTAAAGAGGAGCACAGAAATTTCTGTGTATACTTGCTGTCGTTAAGTCTCGGAAAGAACAGTCTCAATATCTTCTCAAGTTGTTTATTTACAAAATTGATAAAATAAAGAATAGAATTTATTTTTAAAAATTTTGTTATTTAAAAAAAAAAAGGAAAAAAATTATATATTAATAATATATTAATAACATTTATTTAGATAAATAAATTAATAATATATATACATATGTGCCTGCCGTGGAACATATCAACAACATGTTGATGAATTAAAATCTTAATTATTAGGCCAAGTGTTCGAAGAATTTGTTAAAAAAAAAAAAAAAAAAACCAAAAAGAAGAAAAAAAAAAAAGAAAAGAAAATCATGTTATAATTGATTTTTAATAAAGTGCATTTAAATGTGTTTGAAATTGAAATTCTTATATGAAAATCAATTCGATGATATATGCCGCATAAGAAACCCAACAATTACAACAATCGTTACAATTAAGCCAAAAGAGATAATTGTTAAAATTAATCGATATTTAAAAATATCGCAGTGAAAAATTCGCGAAAAAAGGGCTAAAGAAAATTTGGCTAAAAAAAAAAAAAATAAATAAATAAATAAGTAAAACATTACGTTTATAAGTGAATGTGTGTAAATAACTTCGCATAGAGGAAACTAGTGTTAATAACAATTATATTCAAATAAACATCACACTGCCACTTTAGTCCACACAAGAGTAAAAACCATACACTTTTGACAACTCTATAAATATATATCCATATATACATATATATATATATATATATATATTCTTTTTTGTAGAAGAAGAAATTCAAGTGCTGTTATGTTTAGTTTGACAAAACAATTTCTCAACTAAGTGTCCCCAATTTTTCTATTGTTGTTGTCGTTGTTGTTGTGTTGTTGTGTTGTTTCTGTCCTGGCCTTATATCACGCAACCCTAGGTCTTTAAACTATGTCGAGTTGAGCAGTAACAATCTCAACATCATCTGTAATACATATACCATCGTCGTCTTCGTTACTCTACAATAAGAATAAAAAAAAAAAAAAAAAAAACGGAAAAATCTTAAACAACACGCGCGAGTGCCAACAATACTAACTTTAATCTTCTGGCTTAATGTGTTTGACTTGACAACGGAGAGCTGCAGGCCAAAATTTGTCAACAATCATCTTCCTCTTCTACGGCCTCGTGCGGTACGTGCTCTCACTGCAAGAACAACAATTTACCTACGTACCTATATATACGTGCATATATTTGTTTTGCTTTCCTCGCTCTCTGTTTAATCATCACTTATAAAAGTTTTTAAATACTAGGTAAGTTTTCATTTACGAGACTTTAAAAATTTATGTGTAATGCAAGAAGAGTAGTTTTCAACATTTTTTATGATACAATTACTATATGTTATGCATTATAATGTATATACAAAGTAGCATATGAAAAAAAGGATAACAACACGCTTTGTGGGATATCTCTACTAAGACCTGTGACTCTTAAATCCGCATAAAAATTCCACTTAAATCAAACAAATCCTGTCTTTTTTAAGATCGGTTTGAACTTTAATATTTTGAAATTCGAATGTCATTTTTTTCGGAAACCAAAGCTTATACATAGTCAAATCTCGTTCATGAAACACATTATTATTTCAGAGGTAAATCAGTTTTATTATAAAGCCTTTTAAGTTCCGCAAACTGACTTGTGACTTGTGACGTCTCTGTGATGTTGCTGAGGAAACGGCCTTTGCACCCTAACTACTTAATTTGGAATAAAAAAATGTGAGAATCGACTTTCCACTTAAATTGAAGTTTAAGAGAAGATATTTGCAAAATGTTTCCTGCCGTCAGGGAACAGATTGCAATTAAGTTTGAACTTCTAAAAGTTCTTTGCAGATATTTATATCAAATTTTGATCCTACATCGCCCACAAACGGCGCACGTCTTTCCAGTCCAGGAGACTTGGTTACGGAAGGAAAATGTCAAGAGATCCGAGACATAATCAAGGATTGACGGGAAGAGATTACCATACGGAAAGCAAATCTGACCTCTTCCCGAAAGGAAGTTTCCAATAATCTCCGAAATATAGTACGAATCTGATAATTACTTTGGGAAAGATAGTCCATAGATGGTGATATCAATTAAATGTGCCTACGATTTCACTTTAGTCATACCATCATTATCGTCCAAACAAACAGCCATCTTGGGACCGATTTATGCGATGTACTTTTTCAAGTGCTTATCAATACTGCATCTAAGACGATTTTATTGGTATTCTTCTCCATATCTGACGTGATCAGCCCAATTTTTCATTTTGGAAGACGGTCTGGACTCGTGGTAAACTTGTAGCCGCAAAAGCAGAAGCAAAATAAAGCAGAATCTAACCACATATATAAAACTATGTTGCCTCATATTATGATGATTTTTTTTTGTTTTTTAATATGAACAATTAGAGCAACTCCTCTATACGTGTGGCATGGCGATGGTCAGAAAGAAATAGAGTAAGAGATAGAGAGTTGGGTACAGTCTAGTGGTCGTGGGCCCAATCGCCAAAAAGTACCATGACTTTACCGACTTGGTATATCAAATATAGACGCGACCAAGTATGGTCAAATCGTACCGAAGGCGCCACCTTGATAGTCATGACTACGGATACGGCTAAATACTAGACTATGAGGTGTGTCAAATTGTAAACTTTGATTAGAATTGTACAAAAGGAAAAAGTTTACTTTTTTCATTTAAGCGTGAAAGTGGTGTCGGTGTTTTGAAAAAATAGGCAAATGGACGGATAGGCAGACACCTAGGGTTAAATCGATTCTCCTATTTGCTCTGATGCGTAACATAAATGCATTTACCTGGCTTTTTACGACCCAGCAGAGAAGTATTAAAAAGATGTGCAATAAAGACATGGTGTGCGTAGAGAGTGAGAGAGTGGAAGAGAGTGAGAAAAAGAGGGAGAGAAAGAGAAAGAGGAAACCACCACACCACAGACATCGCACAATAGCAAGTAAACCAAAGGAATTAAAAGGATTCATAACAAAAACTTTGTTGAGAGTTCTTTAAAAAGAAAACCATATTCATTTCATATTTTCTTGTGGTCTTGTCGGAATGAATTCAGTTTTTATGCAACTAATTGTGGGACGATGCGGTTTATGTTTCATGGCAAATTATTATTCGGAGGACTGTGAGATGGAAAATATTTTAAGAATATTTTTATGGAAAATTACTTTAAGTGTTTTAACAATGGCAGAAGTTTTTTCAGCTAACAAGGCCTCGATTTTATGGATCTTCAACAAGTCGAACCAATTTTACGATGATAAGGGGCATCGCTACGTGGAGTCGGGTACTTTTCTTTTATATTTTGGATTTTTGTACCCCTCTTCGGAGGAAGCTTCGAAGAAGGAAGGCTCACAGACTATTCTATACATTCTTGATCAGCATTAAATCAAATTCTGTCCATATGTCCGTCCGTCTAACTGCTCAACTAAGTAGTATCTCCCTTCGCGAAACCTACGAATTTTCAAAAAGATCTCAAAATGGCCCAAAGAGGCCAAAAAGCACGTCTACAATGGCCACAGATCTGTACAACCAAAATGAGAAGAAACCTACGCTTTCCGTGTTTTTTGCTTGTTGTTCTTAAGGTACAACACATACGCGATATAAATTTCCAAATTATTCTACAAAAATATAAAAAGTCAGCCGCACCCAACCAATAATATGTCATGCGGGAACTTATAATTTTCCTCTTCTTTCAATCTTTCACAGGATAACGGTGATGGCTAAAAATGACTCGATCGCAACCCAATAGAATTTTCTTAATTGTTCTCATTGAAAACGTTCAATTTAGATTGAAAGTAGTCACGTAGTAAAAGCAAAAGCACCGAAGTTAGCTTTCTAAAAGAAAAAAAAAATCTGATATGTCCATATGTGCTTCCTTTTTAACAAAAAAAATTATGCTATTATTTTTACTAAATGAAGAAAAGATGAATATTTTCGGAGAAGCTTAGCAGGATAAAAAGTGTACACTTTAATATTACACTAAGCGCTTATTTTGTTATGTAGGATTTGTCGCCGATCTTCTGCAACATTTTCAATGAAGACATTGAGTAAAAGCATAATTTATAAAAACAGCCCTCTTAATAATGCTTAGTACGGGTTTTGCGTTCAGTTTTATGTTCACCTTTAAAATGTCAGATCGTTCAACTGGTTTTCTTCTTTCGATGATGAACACGAGCTTGAGAATATCTCAGTTAATCCGTTATAAATGCTTGTAGGAGAGAGAATAATTTTCAAATCACTTTATATTGATTTGAGTTTGCTAAGAATTTCGCCAAATTTGCAGTTCATTTATACCTATTTGAATCATATATATAACGAAACTATTAATCATACCACCAAAATTGGCGCCGCAAACTAACTATAGAAAAAATGCTCTCTCAATGAGTACAAGCTTATATTCATATATTCATAAAGTAATCATTGTTAGAGTGGGAGAAAATAAGACATTGATTCTCATCACAAAAGATCTCGCGAAAATCAATCAAGGTAATCTTAAAATGTAAAGCTGAACAGGAAAATAGTTACAGCATAGGTGAGAGGAAAAACCATTTCTAATTATATTATGAAACCCAAGTGCACGTTATGTACTTGACAAAAAAAAGAAAATTATGAACATAAGACGATATGTGATCCTAACGTCTAACATTCTACGCAATGCATAAATTGCGTATTGCAAGTAATGTAAACAATTGGGCGTAAAATTTGAGTAAGGTCTTGCTAGTACTATCTTCCTTACTAGTATATCTTCTGCTTTTGTCCTCCCATATCCAGTCCAATCTTTCGGATGATTTGTTGATTCAGTTTCCTTAACGATGTGTTTTCCATTTCATTACCGTCTTAACTATCAGACTGGAAAATACATGAATATTTTTTCCATTTTAATGTAAGAATTCTCTTCACGTTGTAAAACCTTTATAAGTCTTATAAAACTCTACTAAACTAAAGTCGTTAAAGGCTTAAGGAATTTTCTTTTCCTTAGCTTATGGTTTTTTGTTTTTGTTGTAACTAAGGACAATCTATAAAACGGAAGACATTCTGCTGCATTTATATGCAAAATAAATACGCGTGGATGTGTGCATAATAAACACGAGTAAAATATAAAAAAAAAAAAATACACAATTCCATGTAAAGTAAAACATATGAAAAACTGTAAACGATATATGTAATTTGCATGCGTCTGTTATGAATGATAATAAAATGAAAGAAAAAAGCAAAACAAAAAGCCGCACATTAATGAAAGCGAGCCTGATATCGCTTGATATGTAGAATGTAAGTAAAATAGATATTGTTGTTGTAAATGACACATATGATAATAGTGCTCTACAAAAACTATAAAACGGGAACTGTAAAACATTTGTGTGATGTGTTTATAAAGTTTCAAGTTGAAAAATAACGGAATAACGGATACACGGAACCATCGATGGCATAGATACTTTCGCCTATGCATCTATATGAATAACTTATGATGTGTATCTAAATAAACATTTGCAAGTTTTCATGCAAACACATACGCTATTCATGTACAAGCAAAAAAAAAAAAAAAAAAAAATTGAAATTATGAAAATGTAAAAAGTCTTCCCAACTATCACAGACATAACGAGTATGTTCATATGACTGTTGATAGACAGACGTACATGGTAAAGAAATCTGAGAAGGTCACATATGCATTTCAACATTGAAATATGTTTGGTTTTCTCTTGTCTTTCATGTACTTTTGCATATATTATGAAACGTTATTGATTTTTTTTTTTTGCACAAAATGAAAGCCTATCGCAAAATAAATTCATTAAATTTGCAGGCAAATGCTTGTTATTGCTTAAAATAGGCGCAACTCTGTTCAGTAGGTTTGACAACAAACACATTATTTAGTATATAGTAGAGAAGCAAATTAATAGGTAACCCTAAATGTTTGACCTTATTATTCGAGAAATGAAAGAACGAATAAAAATTACATCAAGTTGGAAATGCTTTGAGACGCGATTATGAAAGAAAGGCGCCAAATTTAATGTACATGCATGTGTCTCTTGGCCTATAATTTCCTGCTTATTTCCTTTAATTTTGCTCAGTTGAAATTTTTCCTAATTTTCTTCTTTTTTTTTTCTTTATTTCATTATTATTTCTTTTATAAAATCAAGTTCATTTGAAGGTTACGTTGCTAACTCCTACACAACTCTCATGCGGATATGAATAGGCGCTTGATTTCGATATCTGTTTTCATCACTAAATAATGCTTTTAATTAAATTAAAATCTCTTTTTATTTCCT